TAATTGATTACTCTTAAGTCCTGAGGAAGATGTACCTAAGATTGATAACTCATTAATTGTTTTTCCTTTCTCTTTTATTCTCTATTTTAGCATCTCTCCAATTCTGGATAAATAGAATTTGAAGATAGTTTGGAAATTTGGGAGAAAGCCAAACTCAAACTAGGTTTAAAGTACTACTCTTTGCTCATGTACTTTTGGATTCTTTTTGTTAATTGGGTCCCTTGCAAAAATCTTTATTGTGATAATGAATTTCTTGCTTTGATTAATGAAATTCTTTGCAACTTTAACTTGTGAATGATTTATTTAGTGACAAGTGCTAAGGTTAGTATTCTTTTATCTCTGACTCTCATGATTGTATGTCGATTACTGAAAATGTGACCTACTTTGGATGTTAGAATTTTAAATGTGCTGTTACTTGGCAATGAAGATGAAATATGAGTTAACTCGTAGGCACTTGTTGTTAGTGTCTTGAGAAACTCAAGTGCTCTTGTTCACAAGTTTCTGCCTTAGTAAAAGTTATTCTGCTGTTTAGTTGTATGATGTTTATCAATGGAAGCTTTGATTATAAAGTTGCAAACACTACTTTTGATTACTTTATATTATTGCAAAAGGTCTCTAACTTTAACCGTTTCTCCTATGATTACTTTGTAGGATCTCTGGATCTACATAATAATATATGTAAGATATTCTGTCTTATAAGTTTGACATTAAATTTTTACTTAGTGCATCATTGAAGCCATGTTTCCTCTAATTCACTGCAAAACATATGTGGATGTGGCTATGTAGTTATGAATGGTGTAACTAGTCCTTGCTTTATTTACAGGTTAAATGGTTGAAGTTTTAGCTAAGTTTGATCATTGTTTTGATAGTAGATCACTTTCTTATAGGTTAAACAGTAGAGATGACTTCTTTGTTGAAGCATTTTGTCAAGATGGAAGGATTTACTTCACCATTGCACTTAGACGTTTTGGAGATGACTTCTCTGTTTTCTTTACTTGTTTTGAATGTTAAGATTTTGGACATTGTATGAATTATGTTGTACATTGTATGAAATATGTTGTAGATGTAATTTTATTGCCATCTTGGTAGATACTGATAACAATTGATATATTGAATGTTTTTATGTTTTAATTTGAATGTTCCTATTTAGATATATCACATATCTCAGAATTATCATTTATTTGCATGAATTGAAAAAGATATCAATAATAATTTTAAAAAGTTACAAGAGTATGAACATAACAAGGAAAAAAAAATTATTAATATGTATCGTAGCTATGCTAAGGAGCTGTAATATGATGAAAATAGCTTGTCTTAAACGCTATAATATTTCAATTCTATAGCGCTTTCTATAACTCTCCTGAAACGCTATGTTTTCTAAGGACCTATAATAGCGCCCGCTGTCCTAACACTCTAAAAAGCGCTATTGTTAGTGATTAATGGCGTTGTTGGACTGCTACTGATGTTGATATTTGTAGTGCTTCTTTTAACCAATTTGTACTTTCTTTACAGAATCATGAGCAAATCTGTATGACAACAAAAGAAGAAGAGAAAAAATTGGTCGACCAGGCTCAAGCCTTCCTTGGAGAAAGAGACCATGGAAGAAATAATAGAGGAGAATGATTTAACTTGAGAGGACGAGGGTTTGCTCCTGTTGGCCAGTCCAACAATCAAAACTATTCTCAAAACAAATCAAGGACCTAAGAGAACAACAACCCAAAAGGAAGCAACGGAGAAGGAAATTTTAGAGAAAATTCAGGAAGAATTTCATGTTAGAAATCAATGATTTGGTGAAAACCATCACCCAAAAGCCAAGAATACTCATGTCAGATCATCAAGAATTAATAAATCTGTAAGCGGAAGCGTTCTGAATCCATATGAACTGATTTCTCTCTAGACTCGTGCAGTTTGTCTTCCAGATCAACACGTTTTCCTAGAGAACCCTTTAACTTTCTCTCTGTACTCTCTCTGATGATGGGATGTCAGAAGGAATAGAATGTAACGTGCAATTTGGGGACCATAACCGCTATATATAGATAACTTTCCTGTTATCTTTTAGTATTTCTATTTTAGCCCATTATAAAAATAGAAATTACCCTTAAGTCTCTACACATTAAAAGCCCACACCCTATTAGATACATCAAAGCCCAAAATACTCAAATCTTAGTAGATCACTTTTAATTGGGCTTATTCTTATAGGACAGCACACAACACATAATTATTCACATATAAATACAACATTAGATTAAGGATCTGACATTCCATGCCAAATATGTGGAAGAATTAACCACACTGCAATTAAGTGCTATTACAGGTATCGCTATGCTTATCAAGAGGAAGATACACCTGAAGCATTAGCTGCCCTCACCATTCAAGATGGCAATGACACAAACTTTTATGCCGATTCTAGAGCCACAACACATGACAAATGACTTGGGTAAGCTAGAGTCTGTGCATTCTTATAATGGACAAGATGTTATATATGTCGGTAATGGGAACAAATTGCCAATTTCACACACTAGTGATGCACTTTTAAAAACATCTCATTCATTTGAAATTAAAGGATGTGCTTGTTGTTCCTAAATTGAAGTTAAACTTATTGTCAGTTAGTCAATTAACTCTTGATAATTCCTGTATTTTTGAATTTGATGCTAATGGTTTTGTGATAAAGGATCGAAACCAATAGATTCTAGAAAAAGGGCATAGGAGAGGACAACTTTATGCTTTGGAAGAGGTGCAAAGTGTAGCTCTTGCTGCTATCAAATCTCAAAAATCAGACCTTTGGCATCAACGATTGGGACATGCCCATTCAAAGTTTTTGAAAATTCTTCATAGGAAGAAAGTTATTAGTATCTCTAGTTGGCTTAATAAAAACTCAGTTTGTACAAGTTGCCACTTAGGCAAACGTTGCAAACTTTCTTTTTATGATTCTAATAAAATTTGTGAATCTCCCTTGGAAAAAATTCATTGTGATTAATGGGTTAACACCTCCCTGATACGTTACTGTCGTGCCAGAACCGGTAGTCAAAGTAACTCTTATACGGTGGCAATCAACAATCGCCCAATATCTTGACAACCAATCCATTCCAAGCACCACATCAAACTGATTCATGGGAAGGATTATCAAATTTGCCTTTAATTTCTCACTTCCAATCGTGATCACACACGACCTACATATACTAGTCACATTCACACGTCCCAATGGAAAACTTATAAACATTGAAGTCTCTAAGTCATCGGGTTTCAAACTTAAAATTTTCACAAAAGTAGTGGAAACAAAAGAGTGCGTAGCACCAGTGTCGAACAAAACTCGTGCAAAAGAATGTGAGATAGGTACTATACCCTCGACGACTGGGTTTCCGACATGAGCTCCAGAACTTCCCCCGGCCATGGTATGTATCTGCCCCGGTGCTTTCCCTTTTCCTCTCTCATTGTTGTTAGGTTTCTGGTTCCCAAGCCTATATTGTTGCTGCGGTGGGGTAGACTGTACTAATATGGAAGCCTATGGCCGGAAATAATAGTTTGGCGGACGAAAGATCGGTGCAGGAAGAATTGGCATTTGTGCAGGCAACTGGGGCTGATAGAAAGGCGTGAACTGTGGAAGTCTGTCTTGACTAGGAGCAATACCCATTTGATTCTGCGGTAATTACTGGGTCTGTCGGTTCACCAGTTGGCCCCTGATAGGACAGTTCCTCTTGATATGCCCTAGTTCCCCACAATGGTGGCACTTGAAGCTATAGGACCCACTCTTCCCACTTCCCAAAGAGCCACTGCTACCACTAGGCACTCCCCCACTACCTTGCCCTTGATCACGGCTTTTGTTATTCCTTTGAGGTCTTCCTGAAGTTTTCCCTAAAGCTGCTCGATCCTGAAGGAAGGCAATGTGCTCTTGTTCAACAGAGATGGCTGCTGCAACCAGGTCACTGTAGACTCAATGCCTTAAAGCTACCACTGATTTCCGGATCACACCCTTAAGACCTTTCTCGAACTTTAGGCACTTCATGCGCTCCGATTCAATCAAGGAATGAGCAAAACGGGACAGTTCATTGAACCTAGCTACGTATTCCCTCACTGTCATATCCCCTTGCTACAGGCTCATGAATTTCATGGCCTTTTCATCTCAATAACTTTAGGGTGCACATTAAAGAGCGCTTCGAATTGTTCCCAAGTCATCCCCTATACATCATGCATTCGCCGGATATGCTTCCACCACGCACCTGCATGACCTTCAAACTTAAAAGCTGCGAACTCCACCCAATACTCATCCGGTACTCCCATGGTACTTAGATGCTTAGACACCGATTCGAACCAATACTCAGCTTCCTAGGGTCCACCCGCGCTAGTGAATGCAGGAATTGAACTACACTTGTACTCACGGAAATAATTCTATTTTCTGTCTTCCGCAGGACATTCATTTTGGGCTCTAGTAGCCATCCTCTGGAAGGCGGCGTACATGGCTTCTATGAATTGCTCATTTGACAACGCCGGTGGGTTAGGGTTTCTACGGCGCGGTGGCATTCTTTTATCCGAAAAGAAAGCTAGACTGTTTTAGTGGTTTCCTGATATCATTCATGTATGCATAATTTCAAACCCTAAAGTTCTAAACCAAGGGTTCTGATACCAAGTCTTGTCACGCCCCCAAACCGGGATTAGTGACGTGAAGGCTTGTTTAGAAACTTAAACCTGTTTAAGAGAGTGATTAGCAAATAATGTTGCAAACATTATAATTTTTTTTTTTTTTTTTAAATTTAAAACATCCAGGTATTTCCAAACAAGCCCCTGCATTCAAGAGAAATTTAATTTCAAGAACGGTGGTAGAATTTCCAACCAAATCAGTTTAAAACCACGTCCCTGGTATCATGTCAAGAATTCTCACAGGTGTTTAGCATACATGAATATAAACATGAGTAAATGTGACATCAACCATAATCTAGTAATATTTAAGTTTACAATCCATAATCTTTTATTCATGCCTTGAGATAAGGGATTAGAGGAAATACAACTCTTCGCTTTCCCGAAATAAGTCCACATCGCCGGTAGTAGCTGCCTACTCCGCACTACTTATGGCGTCGCCTGGAGGGATTTAATACATTTAAAAACAAGAAAATGTGAGCGAAAGGCCCAATAGGATATAATTTTATAAAGCATTTAAAATAAAGGTACTCACGGTCCAAAGATATATACCCAGAACCGATCATCTTTTTTTAAAAAAAAAAGAAATACTCACATAATAGAATATGTATGTATAATGAAAGTGTGCAGCTCATCATACCACTAAACAAGAAGCGGCAAAATGTCTGTCTAGTAAAAAGTGCAGAGCCATAATTCCACTAAACAAGAAGTGGATCTGTACGGGTTTCGGGACCTACCCCCAAGGATGTGATTCCCACATCCCGATCTCTGAGGCCACCATGCATTGTATTATTCCTTAAAATATTTCATTTTAAGAAATGATACGCTTTGAAATCTCATTTCCAAAATCATTGGAAAGCTTAATAGCATTCTCATGCTATTTTTTTAAAATCATTTTCTTTAAACATGTTTTGTTCTAAAACATTTTCATTGGCCAAAATAATTTAAAATGAGGCTAACAAGGATATGGATAAGAATATCCTACCTCTCGGATGTCAAACCTGGGCTAGCCTTCAGTTCTCCTAGTCTCCGCTTTCCTTAAAGCCTTAATACTTGACCTTCTCCACTAGCTTTATCACAAAAGCAATATCTTAGGAAGTAAATTTCGGCAGCATGCCGGCATAAATAGGAAAAATGTCAAACCTGCAATTCAAGTTCAATTTCAATATATATTCTCCAGAATCCATCAAAATCAGTTTCTAATCAATTAAACAAGTCCAATAACTAAAAACCCCTAAATTTCATTCGATTCCAACAATAACTGTTCAAACTCAAACCATAACTCAAAATTATTCAAATCTAACCAAAACCAAACTTTCTCAAGCTTAAAATTCAAATCAAAGAGTGGGTTTCAAAGGGTTTTACCTCAAATCAGTTGCTCGAGCTTTGTCTCCCTCAATTTCTCTGTTTTTCGTTTTTTTTTTTTTTCTTTGGTGATTCTCGGCCAAACTGCCAAGAGAGAGAGGGAGCGAGAAACCCGGAGAGAGAGAGCAAGGGAGAGAAAGAGAACGCCGGCGGGAGGAAGCCCGGAGAAGGTGGCCAGCGGTGGAAGAAAATAGAGAGAGAGAGAGAGAGGGCTGGGCGCACGGGAAGAACCAGAGAATAAGAAGAAGAAAAGAAAAAAAAAAAAAAAAAGGAAGGAGAATGGGGGCTGGGCACACGGGAAGGGAAAGGGGGAAAAGAAAAAAAAGAAAAGAAAAAAGAAAAAGAAAAAGAAAAGAAAAGGAAAATGAAAATGAAAAATGAAAAAAAAAAAAAAAAAGAGGAAAATGTATTAAAATTTAAGTGTGTTTTCTAAAAATCTTTGGGGTGAAATTATAAATATTAAAAATAACTTAAAATCTCTTGATTAATTATAAGAATCAAATTAGGCACACTAATAATCCACAGCTTAGCATAATTACACATGTTTAATTCTAAAGAGCGTTACAAACCGGGTGTGTTAATTAATGCTAAACATATACTACAAAGCTTTTTTTTTTTCCCCCTGCTTGAAACACACACGAAACACGATTGATGGTACAACTTTTTATTTTGGGTATGATTTGTTATCTTACATAAGAGATCCTAACGTTCACCCACAACCCAAAAGAAGAAAAGAAAGAAGAGAAAAGGTGGCAACAGGGTTAACTACATTTTAACTCAAGAATGAATAAGCAATAAACGTCTCATATCATGTAGATCTTCTATCTATTCTACTTATTGAAATGACAAGGAATAATGTTAATAACATGTACGAAGTCAACACAAGACACATTGACCCACCCAGGGAAATAAGGACATATTCACACATTTTTTAGTGAGGAGGATGAAAGGGAATGAAGATAATGGTACCCACAAAGGCCGTTTGAGAGGAGTGAGGAACTGAGGGGATTGATGATGAAAGAAGTTTATGCTAAAGTTAGCACACCAGAACAACAATAGGAAGCAATAACACCTATTAAGCAACCCAAAAAGACTGTAGATCAACGGCAGCAAAAAGTATCCACGGGGCCAGACCTGCCTACAAAATAGAATCGAAAGTTGTATGTACTCTAAAATGTAAAAACCCTTGTGTTCTTAAGCTTCTCTTATTTTCTTAATTACTACAAATGAATGGAGAAAGAAAAAGAGCCCTTTGCTCGATCACAAGAACCCTAGCTCAACTTATTAAAAAACAAAAAAGAAGTCTAGCAATGTTGATCCTTATCAAGGAAAACACGAGCATCATTAAGTGAACTAGGATCAGGTCAGCTTGAATACAAGACTCAATTATAATAAGAGCAAGAAATTTACCTAGGCACCGGACTTTAACAATAATCCCCTGGCTCTCCAATATTTGAGTCAACATACAAGCCTGAACCAGAGCAAGTGGAGCAAAGGACGGCACCCTTGGCATGGCAATCATTGCATCGGGGGTTGTCTCCGATTAATTTTTCAGCCAAATATATTCCAACAGGCTTCTCAATTCTCTCTTCGGGCACAGCCTTATCATAACAAAACAGGGATTCAAGACTGCTTCTTCGTCTATGCGCATCTCCCACTGAACTCGTAGCCTGCAAGCTTGAACAGAAATTCTTTAACAAATCCATATTCTTAAACAGAATTCCTTGAAAAATTTTAACCATGATGCAAACAAGCAACAAAATGCAGTTTACATCTTAATTAGTCCCACGACTATGAGGAAAATTGTTATATCTTCATTATGCACACAAGCATGTAGAGGTGTCCACTGTGCATGTGCATGCAAACTCAATAGAGAATATCAAGCAGATAGGCCGCTGCTTAACCGATAACACATCACATGTTACATAAACAATTTAAGGTGACTAGGATTCCCAAAGATTTAAATTCGCTTGATCAAGGTATAACAATTTTGTGATTCCCATGAAAGATAATTGGACTATGCAGCAAGAACACTCAAAATGGCGCCACAATTCACTAAAAGCCCTGATTTCATTTGACAAATTCAATTATGTTACCATTATTGTCTTATCATCCATTAGTTCTCCCTTAACTCTCCAAGTTCTCTAGATTAGTGTTCTCCGTACAATGCATAACGCTACGAAGAAGTACAATCTGCTCAAAGCCAAGTTGGCAGACAAAGATAATGCAAGTCGAAAGAACATTCCAGTGTTTTTGCTACAAGAGACCTTTAGACTTTATTATGAAGATAACTAGAGTTGAAACATGAGGAAAGTATGATACTTCATTAAGAAAGAAGTACTATTTCTCTTATTAAACTCACATACGTCAAATCAACGTCCATTCCTATTGTTAGTTTTCATAAAATTAAAGATAACCCTTTTTCTGTTTACTTCCATCTAGACCATCACTTTCTACACACATTCAAAAATTTGAACCCTTTTTTTTTTTTTTTGGAGAAATAGAAAACATCAAACTTGCGTAAGAAAGCTAATGGAATATACAGAATGGGCAATACTCCATTCTTGTAAAAAGCATCAAAATCCATGTGGGTCCTAAACTATCCAATTTTCAAGATCATGGTAAGCCCAATTTTGGTAAGTTACACACAATAAAAAGCCAGATTTCAAAGCCTAAACTAGGAAGAAAAAAAATCCAAAGCTCAATGCTTGAATTAATGAATCAATTATAATTATGATTCTTTTATTCCTTCAATCAGCATATCGAGTTAATGAAATTAAAAAAAAATTAACCAACTCTTCACCCCAAAGTTTTCACTTTTGTAAGAAAAAACAAATTTGCAAAAAATTAAAAAAAAAAAAGAAAAACGAAAAAGAAAAGAAAAATGACTAACCCCATTGGAACAAGAGCGAGAAACAGAGCCATTGGGAGAGAAAGCTGAGAGCTTGGTGAGCGACTTGGTTCCTTTGACGTGAAACCCATAATTAATTTCGCCATTGAAATTGCAATTTGATGAAGAAACATGCGTGGATTTGATCAGTGACGCCATATTCAAAGTAGCAGAAGAACCCATTTCAAATTACGTGTGAAAAAAAAAAAAAACAAGATATATATATTATATAAATATATATATATATATATATATAGAGAGAGAGAGAGAGAGAGAGAGAGAGGACTAAACAGCAAATTTGCAGCTCGTACAAGAGGAGATGAAGAAGAATGATGAATTAAGGAAGCGTTGGAGAAATCGCCGATTGGCCTTTTTTTTTCTTTTTTTTTTCTTTTTGTAATTTTCTTGTAATATTAGGAGAGAAATCAATTGGGCTGGCCAGTGGTCACCATCTTGGTTTCTGGCCCAAGTCAGCCCCACTTCTGCAATTTTCTCATTTGTGTTTGTAATGGAAATAAAAAATAATAATAAAATAAAATAAAAGAATGATGAATTTGCTTTTAAAAAAATGGACAGCTTTTACATGAATATCTCCATTTTCCACCAAAATTATCAATTATCTGTTTTTGTTCCCGAACTCTGAAACCCATTTGAATTCGTAGTGTTTTCATTCCAATCTCAGTTTTAATTTAATCAAGTCATCATGGCAGAACCGATCATGTCTCCCATTGCTGATAAAATCATCGGGGGCTTGGGATCTGCTGCTGTGAAAGAGATTGCATTGCTTTGGGGGGTCAACGACGATCTTGATTAACTTGTACTTACTGGAGTTTCTTAAAATATACGGAACATTTTTTTTTTTTTTATATAAGAAAGAATACTTTCATAATTTGTAACAATAATTTCAAATAAGTGAATCACTAAATTTCTTAAAGTTGTTCATAATTTTAGTTAAGATAAAACCTTTCAGGAATATCCTTCAAACAGAATAGCATTTACTTGATGGACGAGTTCAACACCGAAGCTTTGCGACGACGAGTGATGCCTGTAGGAAGTGAAATGGTCAAGCAGGTATGCACTTTCTTCTCTGCCTCAAACCAACTTGCCTTTCGGCACAAGATGGGTTGTAGGATTAGGGAAATCAACAAGAAACTAGATACTATTTTCAGTGACAAAAACTTCTGTTTAGAAGTTCGTCATGAAGATAATCAGGCGGTCTCTGCTAGGAGAGGGAGAGAAACTCATTCGTTTGTCCGTCAAGAAGAGGTTATTGGTAGGGATAAGGATAGAGTGGAAATTGTTAAGCTTTTATTGGAACAAGGTGAATTGGAAGAGAATGTCTCCGTCATTCCCATCGTGGGTATGGGAGGGCTTGGAAAAACCACACTTGCTTAAACTGCTTTCAATGAGCAGACGGTCCAACAACATTTTGAGCTAAAGATGTGGGTGTGTGTTTCTATTGATTTTGACTTGAAGTCAATTCTTCAAAAAATTATCAAGTCTGCAACTAATAATGACAACTTGAAAGATAATGCTTCAATGGATCAATTGCAAAAGGAGCTTCGGAATGTACTTAATGGAAAGAGGTATCTCCTTATGCTAGATGATGTGTGAGAGGAAAAACGCGAAAAATGGTTGATGCTAAAAGACTTGTTATTAAGTGGATCACGTGGGAGTAGAATTGTAGTAACAACTCGGAGTAAAAAGGTGGCTGAGATTACAGGATCGGCCCAGCCATACCAATTAGGGATCTTAGATGAAGAAAAATCTTGGTCTCTGTTTGAAAAGATGGCTTTTAAAGAAAAAGAAGAGGAGAGAGACCCCAAGATTGTGGATATTGGGAGGCAGATTGTCGAAAGGTGTGGAGGAGTTCCTCTCGCAATAAGAGCTATAGGAGGCATGTTGTTTTTCAAAAGTTCGGAATCAGAGTGGTTGTCCTTTTATAAGGGATTTTCAGGAATATCACGAGAAAAAAAAGATGACATTTTATCAACATTCAAATTGAGTTATGATAATCTTACCTCACACTTGAAACGTTGTGTCACGCCCCCCAAACGGGGTGGGTGACGTGGAATTCGATTAGGAATTTATAAAGCAGATTTCCAACCGGGCCCCACACTTGACTACATTAAAATATAAATAAATTACATAATCCAGGAGCCTCTGACACACAGGGCTCCACCCCACAGGACATACAGTATCGTACATACATGCTCAGGTAATTAATCATTACAACAGACATCAACCACAGTCTAGTAAATCCAATATTAAATAGTTTTACATAATTTCTCAAATTCCTTACATTTGTTCAAGAGGATAAACTCAATCCTCACTTGATCCAACAGTAGCAACTCCAGCTACCCTGCACCACTCCTCGAGTCTCCTGGGAGGGGTTTAACATTTAAAACATAAAACGTGAGCGAAAGGCCCGGTAGGATATAATTTGAAATATTTAAAATAAATGAGCGCATGAATAAATAATTGAATACATAAATAAAATGAGACATTCAGTCCCGACAGAACAGCCGGAACCTCACATCCTTTTTCTCAAAGGAAATATAACGGAAAATAACCATGTTACAGGCTTCAGCAAGTAATTAGTACAAATTACTTACCTAACCAAGTGCCTCGCCTACCCGGACCGAGTTTCAGGTTCTGCCCCCGAGGATGCACTCTCCGCATCCTATCTAGGCTTACAGCAATAGACTCTATTACCAGTTCACAATATCTCTTTGCTTAAGAAATCATTCATTAACATTTTGAAATCGTTAATATGACCCCACGAACTACTCAAGCCGCGGGCCTCATGACTGGACAAGCCATGAGGTTCCATGACTAAACAAGCCATGGTTTTCAAAGCATTTTCTTTCACAAATCAATCTCTTTCTTTAAAACATTTTCAAGGCCAAAATCCTTTTTGAAAACAGGCTCACAAGGAAAAAGAATAGAAATCCTACCTCGCACAATCAAACATGGGACTAGCGTTGCCTTTTCCGGCTTCCGCTTCCTCAAGCCCCTTCAGTCTGAATCCTCAGCGATCACTGATACAAGATAACACTTTAGGATTAATTCTCATTCCTAAAGCAATCCAATCTCACTTATGTACCAAGATTTTCAATTAGTGTCCCAATCCATTTTAACATTTCACATTATCATTCCAAGGGTTTTTAATATCAAAACAAGGATTAAAGATGCTAATCCTTTTATCCCAAGTCCCCAAATGAAGCTAATTTGGGTTCTCCCCGAAAACAGGGGTCAAAACAACACTTTTCAAGCCAAACAGGGTCAAACCCGTGTCAACCGGTCGACCGGTGACAGAAATGAGAGAGAGTGACAGTGAGAGAGAGCACAAGAGAGTGAGGGAGAGAGACGCACGGGAAAGGAAAAGAAAAAGAAAAGAAAAGGAAAATGAAAAAGAAAAGAAAAGGAAAAAAGAAAGGAAAATGGCATATGTATAATATTTTAAAAGAACAGTCCAGAAATGCGCCCATACACACTTCTGGATTAAAATAAATTACTGAGAATAATTTAAATACCTTGGAACTATTTAAACTCACACGTGTCAGAAACATTTATTAATTAAACTCAATTAATAATCCAGATTAGGGACACTAATAATCTTAATTACCTTAATTAATCTCAATTAATTCTTCAGGGTGTTACACGTTGTTTTGCCTATTGTAGATTATTTCCTAAAGATTACAGAATTAAAGTTCAAAAGTTAGTAAAACTTTGAATGGCACAAGGGCTTCTCGAGTTACAAGATCCAAGTGATGACCAATGTCTGGAGGATGTGGGCTCCGGATATTTTGTGGAATTACTTGGAAGGTCATTCTTTCAAGAAGTTAAAGTAGATCGATGGGGCGCTGTAGAAAGTTGCAAAATGCACGATCTCATGCATGATCTCGCCATAGAAGTAGCAGGAACAGAATGCGCTATTGTAAGTTTGAACTCCGGAGGCAATATTGGCAAGGATACTCGTCATGTTTCCTTTGATTTCAATATTAACTCGCCAAAGAAAATTTCTTCTTCATTGGTTCAAACACGTAAGATTCGAACAGTTCTTTTGCTTGATCAAGGGTATAACAAATGGGGAAAGTCAACTTCTAATGCACTAAGATCAAATGTCAAGTTCACATGCACTTTGGATTTGAATTGTTCGGGGATTACAATACTACCAAAGTCTATAGGAAGTTTCAAGCATTTGAGATATCTAGATCTTTCAGATAACAATTTCAAGATGCTACCCAATTCGATTGTCAATCTAGTGAATCTGCAGACACTACGACTGAATGGCTGCTCTCGCCTACGAGAATTGCCCAAAGACTTGAAGAAGCTAGTCAATCTCAAACATCTTTTCTACTTAAAAGTAATCTAATTGTTGGGTAATTAAGTAATAAAAAATTTTATTGAAAAAATTGTGAAAAGTAGAATGAAGGATGTTAATATAAGGCTTTTTTTATATATATATATAAATGAACAGAGAGAAGCTAACATATCCTACCTGACTATATCCATTATTACTATTTTTTATGTTTTCCTTTTTTTTTTTTCCTATTTCTTTCCTGACGATTTCTATAACGGTTATTTTAAATAAGTCATGCGGGCACTTTGCTGTTTTGACTAGTCCTATTAAAAGAAAAAGATGAGATAATAGATGACAAACGTGTGACTCACAATTACCAGTCTTTATTGTCCTTGTGACCTGCAAATATTGATGATGACGAAAGCTAGCTCTTCAATAATAGAGAACATACGTGTGACTCACAATTATCAGTCTTTATTGCCCTTGTTACCTGCAAACTAAAACACCCATTTGAATTCATATTGTTTTCATTTCAATCTCAGTTTTAATTTAATCAAGTCATCATGGCAGAACTAATTCTGTCTCCCATTGCTGGTAAAATCCTCGAGGGCTTAGGATCTGCTGATGTGAAAGAGATTGCATTGTTTTGGGGGGTCAACGACGATCTTGATCAGCTTAATGAAACCATTTCAACCATCAAATCTGTGCTTCTTGATGCTGAGGAGAAGCAGATCAACAGCCACCAAGTCAGAAACTGGCTCCGTAGGCTTGGGGGTGTGGTTGATGATGCCGACAACTTGATGGACGAGTTCAACACCGAAGCTTTGCGACAAAGAGTGATGCCTGCAGGAAGTGAAACGGTCAAGCATGTATGCACTTTCTTCTCTGCCTCAAACCAACTTGCTTTTCGGCACAAGATGGGTTGTAAGATTAGGGAAATAAGTAGGAAACTAGATGCTATTTCAAGCTCCAAAGTTTTTCATTTAGAAGTTCGTCATGAAGATAATCAGGCGGTCTCTGCTAGGAGAGGGAGAGAAACTGGATGCTATTTCAAGCTCTAAAGCTTTTCTATTTTTTTTGAATTTACAATCTGTTGCCATAAAACTGCCAACTAAAAAAAAAAAAAAAAAAAAAAAACCTAACATAAGGCAAACTACTTATCACTCGCATATACATTATCTTTTGAAGATTCATTCAACATACCAAAGGTTAAAATTTGTAAACTTGGATATAAACCTATTACTCATAAAACTTTACAGAATAATAATATATACATAGGAGTACATCATTCATTAATTTTAGATAGATACACGCTCATGATATAGGTTCATGCTATATGGTATATCATCAGATCTTTAGTCATTAAAATACATGAATTACAGGTACGCACTTTCTTTTCTTCCTCAAACCAACTTGCTTTTCGGCTCAAGATGGGTTTTAGGATTAGGGAAATAAGGAAGAAACTAGTTACTATTTCCAGTGACAGATACTTCCTTCATTTAGAAGTTCGTCGTGAAGATAATCAGGCGGTCTCTGCTAGGAGAGGGAGAGAAACTCATTCATTTCTCCGTCAAGAAGAGGTTATTGGTAGGGATGAGGAAAGAGAGGAAATTGTTAAGCTTTTATTGGAACAAGGTGAATTGGAAGAGAATGTCTCCGTCATTCCCATCGTGGGCATGGGAGGGCTTGGAAAAACCACACTTGCTCAAACTGCTTTCAATGAGGAGACGGTCCAACAACATTTTGAGCTAAAGATGTGGGTGTGTGTTTCTGATGATTTTGACTTGAAGTTAATTCTTCAACAAATTATCAAGTCTGCAACTAATAATAACAACTTGGGAGCTATTGATTCAATGGATCAATTACAAAAGGAGCTTCAGAACGTACTTAATGGAAAGAGGTATCTCCTTGTGCTAGATGATGTGTGGGAGGAAAAACGTGAAGAATGGTTAAGGCTTAAAGTCTTGTTATTAAGTGGATCACGTGGGAGTAGAATTGTAGTAACAACTCAGAGTAAAAAGGTGGCCGAGATTACAAGATCGGTCCAGCCATACCAATTAGGGATCTTAGATAAAGAAAAATCTTGGTCTCTGTTTGAAAAGATGGCTTTTAAAGAAAAAGAAGAGGAGAGAGACCCCAAGATTGTGGATATTGGGAGGCAGATTGCGGAAAGGTGTGGAGGAGTTCCTCTCGCGATAAGAGCTATAGGAGGCATGTTGTATTCCAAAAGTTCAGAATCAGAGTGATTGTCCTTTTATAAGGGATTTTCAGGAATATCACGAGAAAAAGAAGATGACATTTTATCAACGCTCAAATTGAGTTACGATAATCTTACCTCACACTTGAAACGTTGTTTTGCCTATTGTAGATTATTTCCTAAAGATTACAGAATTGAGGTTCAAACATTAGTAAAACTTTGGATGGCACAAGGGCTTCTCCAGTTTCAAGATCCAAGTGATGACCAATGTCTGGAGGATGTGGGCTACGGATATTTTGTGGAATTACTTGGAAGGTCATTCTTTCAAGAAGTTAAAGTAGATCAATGGGATGCTGTAAAAAGTTGCAAAATGCACGATCTCATGCATGACCTCGCCATAGAAGTAGCAGGAACAGAATGCGCTACTGTAAGTTTGAACTCCGGAGGCCAAAGAAAATTTCTTCTTCATTGGTTCAAGCACGTAAGATTCGGACAGTTCTTTTGCTTGATCAAAAGTCTTGGAAAAACAAATGGGGAAAGTCAACTTCTGATGCAGTAAGATCAAATTTCAAGTTCACACGCACTTTGGGTTTGAATAGTTTGGGGATTCCAATACTACCAAAGTCTATAGGTAGTTTCAAGCATTTGAGATATCTAGATCTTTCATATGACTGGAATATCGAGATGCTACCCAATTCGATTACCAATCTAGTGAATCTGCAGACACTACGACTGAATGGTTGCTCTGGCCTACGAGAATTGCCCAGAGACATGAAGAAGCTAGTCAATCTCAGACATCTTGAAATTGATAGGTGCAGTGGGTTGACTCATATGCCACGCGGATTGAGTCAGCTGACAAATCTTCAGACACTATCAACGTACATACTAAGTGAGAGCAATGATGTTGTCATGATAAATGGAGGTGAGCTAAAAGAATTAGTGTGCTTGAACAACTTGAAAGGGGAATTGGAAATTTTGAATCTGGGTCATGAGAATGACACGGCAAGAGACTATGAGTCTGCAAATTTAAAGGAAAAACAATATCTTCGATACTTGGCATTGAAATGGATTTCTGATGATGAAGGAACAGAGGCTCCTGTTGGTTATGAGAAGTCACTAGATGCCCTCCAGCCACATCTAAATCTCCAAGAATTGGCTCTATGGAATTACGGGGGTGTCAAGATTTCAAGTTGGCTTTCTTCACTTACAAATATGGTGAATTTGACATTACAGTCGTGTGAGAAATGCCAACATTTAGTGCCGTTGAATCAATTCCCCCGCCTTGAGAAATTAGAACTTAATTTCTTGCCGTGTCTGGAGTACATAAATGGTGAGGAGGAAGACTTGTTGCTTTCATCAACAATAGTACTGCCATCCCTACGAGAACTTCGGTTGAGGGATTTGCCAAATCTAAAGGGATGGTGGAGAGAGGTAGTAAGTGGGGAATTGTTGCCTTGTTTTCCCCCTTGTCTTTCTACATTAGAAATAAGGAATTGTCCTCAGCTGAGTTGCATGCCGCTTTACCCACATTTGGAAGGAAGACTAGACCTAATAAATACAAGGTTGAAGCCATTGGAACAGACAGTATTAGTATTAGAGAGTAGAAAATGCAGTACTAGTACTACTGGAACTGAAATCCCCACAACACCGTCATCTTCTTTCTCTTCTCTCTCTAAACTGACATCTTTGACTATTTCTGAAATTGGGGAGGATCTACAATGTCTTCCGGAGTGGTTCAAGAGCCTTACTTGTCTCAAAAAGCTGGAGATTCAGGAATGCTCCAAATTAAAGGATCTGAGCCCGGGTATTCAACATCTCACCTCACTTGAAGACTTGGAGATTAGAAATTGCGAGGAGTTAGAAGTGATGATACCTTTGAAGAATAACGGAAGACTCCGCTATCTGCGTCTTATTGGCTCTCATAAATTGGCGTCTCTTCCTGGGGGTCTTCAACACCTTACCAGTCTCCGACGCCTTTTGATTTCTGATTGGGAGAGTCTGGAAACTATTCCGGAGTGGATTGGCAACCTAAATTCACTTGAATCACTTCATTTACTTAATTGCCCCAAATTGAGAGCATTGCCTGAAGGAATACGAAGCCTCACTTGTTTAAAAACTCTATGGATTTGGGATTGTCCCATGTTATTGAAGAGATGCCAAAGGCAAATAGGCGAGGATTGGCCCAAGATTGCTCATATCCCAGACCTGAGCTTGAGGTAGAAAGCCCAAACTCAATATAACTGTCGATCTCTGTTTGTATCCTCATCTTCAGTGCTGGGTGGGTATTTTCATCTTCATTTTCTAAAGTGTTTCCATTCGAACTTATCTTGATATTTTTATAGAATCCATCAAGGGATGAGCATACGACAAGTTTAGACAAGATAAAAGCACGCAGCAGCAGCATCTTATTCAAAAATTTTGGGCTATGCATGCAATAATATATACTACTACTGGAACGACTCAAGAATGAATATATGGATAGGTAAATACACATGATTATCCCTTCTAATTTTCCTCTTTAAGATTCTTGTGATTTCTTCACCTTTAAGATTTTTGTTATTTCACTGTTCACATTTTCCCTCATATTCCATGGTTTGCTTGCCATTATTCTGAATAATTTTCAAGCTTTAGTAAGTAAGTAATAGTATTTATAAAAAGAAAACTGTTAGGATCCTAGCAATTTCTAACAAAATTGATGTTCGAGTTTAGAATTTGAGTTTAAAATTCAAGTTTTGTTACAGTAAATACTCTTAGAAACAGTCATGTTTAATTTTTTTACTACAGTAAAAAATTCTCACATAAAATCATATCTCAACTTGAATTAAAAATTCGAATCAACGAACTAAATGAGCTACATAAAATTCTCGAATTAAAGTCGCATAAAATTCTAATTTTCTTTGCTTCTGTGTCAACTTTCTCTTAGAGAGAGTTATATTTTGTTTTTGAATACGCAGGGAAGTGCTCTCTGAGAGTTGCGGAGCTAATTCTTTACTTTGATGAGAGTTGTATGGGGAATAAAATGCCCTCTAGAAACGCATCATAACAATGGTATCTATTATGCTCTCTCTCCCCCTTCCACACTCTCATCGTTTTTTCTTATGAAATAGTAAAATTCTTCATTAGTTTTCCATTATGTTAATTTTTTGAGACTGATATTGTTATTAGTTTTCTAAGGTCTTTTCAATCCATGTATTGATATCATTCAATATCTTACTTCACTTCAACACTTGAAGATTGGTAGCGGGTACCGAATGTAAGCTTTGAGCCCACCCACTTTCTTTGCTAATTTTCTTACTCAAGCTACTTCTTCTCTGTTCAAGCTGTGAGTGGGTCTTTTTCTGATATGATATATGGAAATCTGACTTTTGTGGATGGACTGAAGCAAGATGATTCTTTTCATACATAGCTATTCCTTTGTGGACTGAAGCAAGATGACTTTTGTGCTCTATTATTGATAATGAAACGCCAATTCTGTTTGTTTCTTCATCATCTTTTTTCTATGAGCTTAAAATTTTGATGAATCTCATTGTGTTTTTACAGATTTAGATTGGAGAAGTAAACTGCTCTCTGGTTTCTCCTCACAATGTAATGGAATGGTAAAATCCTTCATCTCTTTTTCTATATGCTAATCCTTTTAAATCCTTAATTAGAATAGTTCTTTTTATTCTTCTATCCACGTTTTCCGTAATCAGATGTGAACAGAACACCTGAAATAATATGTTGGGATTGATTCAAGATCATGAGTTTCCATGCATTGGATTATGCAAATGATTCATAGTGGTCTAGTTTTCAAGGTAAGCAAGTCAATCATGTAAGTTTAATACATTGGTTAGAAAATGCCGATTTTATTCACCATTTTATTGCCATCTAATTCTTTTTGGAAGAGTTCTTTAGTTTGATTTTTTTCTTTTTCAGTTTTTTGTTGGAGAAGCGAGCTACGGAATGGAACACGGTTCAATAGCTTCGCAAACATACTCTCTAAAAGTTTTGGATGATGAACTTATGCAACCTCAACATTACAAAGTACTCAAAACGTTTACTCTTCTTTTTTGCCTAAAAGAGTTTCCAAAAGTGATTTAAGTTCTTTGAAGTGATTAAGTTTCATACTTATGTAGCATGGCTAAAACAAAATGCGGATTCTGCTTGATGATATTTGTCAGGGTGTCAGAGACAAATATGTAGGATCCAATATTTACAAATATAAGTATCAGTTTTTTATATTTCTATATTAGTTTTCTTTTGTTCACAATCATAAACTTTTATTCCTTTTTTTTTGTAGTATGGTTGAAGTACCGATTACAAGATCAAGATTTGCATGAAGAGCACAGCGAGTTGGCCTAATTTGTGCAAGCACAAATTTGATCCTGTGGCAGAGTTGGTAAATTAATCACTGTATTCCTAAGTTTGTAGTACTTAAAAAATATTTATTGTTTCCAAGATCTACTAATGTTGAAACATGGTTTTGGTAAGAATGTAAAGGAACTACGAGTGGCTTGATCCCTTCATTGGGTACGTAGGCAGCCTGGTTTAGGTCCAGCCACAAATAAATAAAACAACCTTCAACCAACAGGAGCCTAGTGACTTCTCATCTCCTCTTTGTATATAGAAGTTACTGAAATAAAACAAATAGTTGCAAAGCAGAAAGTCAGAAAGTTTCTCGGGAGTGAATGTGATTCGGTTCCAGCATCAATGAGAAATTCAAGAACTTGTGGCTTTCTTCTTCTACTAATTGTTGGAACTTAATATGAAAGTACCTTAACCTTAGTATGATATAAGTCTAAAACCTTGTACCTAATCTTATGGGGAAGACAATTTTTTCACCTATTCCAACTTGATTCTTATTCTTTTGTCGATAACTCAAGATCCAACATGATGTTTTGGTAAGCTCATCGACTGTTCATTTAGACCATCGCGACCATGCAAGTCAAAAAGTTGAGGAGCTTGGCATCGGATCATCATTTAACGCGAAAGTTTAGTTTTGAATGAGTTGAAGCCTCAAAAGTTCCTTGTTGCTTAATACTAATGAATGAGAAGCCATTTTCGAGTGGTAAAGTTTTAATCATCATTCCAATATGAAAAACTCTCAAGCGAAAACGCGATTGGAGAAAAGGACTCTTGAAAGGAAAAAGAGTTGGAGTACATGCCTACGTGATGAAAAATTGGACATTTTAACTGATATTTTCACGGAAATTTCCATATTTTGGATAATATTATATTAAACACTATATCATATCATACTTGTCAACGTGTTTTCATTTGTTCTCATTCTAAAAAATGAGATACCAAGTATTTTAATCCATATTATAAGCCAACTTGCACCTAAGCCAAACAATACAAAATAATTAATAAGAGCTTAGTTGAAGGGAGACAATCCATATAATTTTTAGACCGGTATTGTCATCTTTCTCTTGAAATTTAAAGTCGTCGCCTGATTTCTTTTTTTTAATGATGTCGTGTTTTTTTTGTCAGCTAAACTTTATCATCCAGTCATTTCCCTTAAAACGCTGTTTTATACCCTCTAAACTTGTTCCCCAAAATTATAATTCATTAAAAATACTACAAATTATAACTTTCAGTTCCAATATCCTTTTAGATTTCAGGAGATGACACCAAAAATATATATATATATATATATATATTGAGTTGCAGTGAAGTTCTGCAATATCTAATTTATATCTATATGGCAGTCAAGTTGGACTCCTACTTTTACTTTCATGTAAGGCATAAGTGCAGGGTACTCATTAATTGTCAAACCAGCTCTTCTTCTTTGCCATTGGAGAATAATGATCATAAATAATTTAAGGTGATTTGGTCATGTCCTTGCTTATTCCTGTTATTCACATATATATTCATAATTATCTTCCGATCGGTATACTTTATCATATCCATTTGAATTCCAAATAACCTAACAGAGTTAATATGGGCAATTTTTTTTTTATTAAAATATACCTCACATATTCATATTTATATTTGGAGAATCATATACTTAGTTATTTTAGGAACTTGAGTTGTGTGATGATCTTGTCCTAATTAAGTATGAGTTTAGGAACTTGAGTTGAAGAGAGAATTTAAACTCAAATTTTAACTCCAAACTCAAGTTAAAACTCAAGTTCAAACTTAAATTTTACAAAAGAACATGAATTTGAATAAAGTTGTAACTTGAGTTCAACGGCAGAAGCCGGGAAAAAAAAGTACAAATTAGGATTAATTTCACAAATGTTTCTTGAGATTTTTCATGAATCTCACTTTAATTTATGATTTTTTAAACGTTCCACAATTACTTATGAGCTTTTATTTTATTTCAATTTTAATCATTTCGTTAATTAGAATTTAAAATTTGATAGAATATGTGTAAATTAATAACAAAAATTAGAAACAGTTAAACTTTTGAGATTATCTGTAGAAGTTAGTTTTTATTTTTTATATTATTTTAGTTTCTAAACTTCAAATATTTCTAATTTTGGTTTCTAACTTTTACATATTCTGTCAAATATTCAATACGAAGCTAATAAAAATGCTTGAAACTGAAACAAAGTAAAATATCAAAATGAGATTGAGGATAAACCTCATAAATCATTTATGAGATTATCCCTACAAATTAATAAGAAAATTTTTTAGTGAAGTAAAAACAAATAAAAAAAGTCTTGATTTTCAAACTTCTTAATTGCAACCACAATTCAACAGACGTAACAACAACAATAGAGAGGCTTTTGTTTAACATGTTGACCAAACGTAGGTGGTGATGCCCCTAACTTTGCAATTAAAAACTCAAGTAAACAATTCTCTAAAAAAGAAAACAAGACTCAAGTAAACAAGATAAATTTTTATAGGGACCATTAGTATTTATTGACAAATAGTTAAAGATGTTGTTATATTACCCTAAACGTCTTTTGAATACTCTTGAATGTCCCAGTTGTTCGCGGGACGTTATAAGCATATGATTATAAGAAATTGAAGAATATTTGGTTCTTGAGAATCGTACAAGATTAATTCATTATTTTTTTTTTATAGATGGTCAATACTTTTATCCCGGTTCGAATTCTATTGAGAAGTCCACTAGAGATCATAAATTGTTAAAGAACAATTAAGACATTTATTTTGTCCTTTCTAAGAGATCAAATGATAAGAAAGTTAAACCTCGTTCACTTCGCTGATTCGAGTTTAGAATTTGAGTTGAGATGTGATTTTATGTGAGAGTTTTTTACTGTAGTAAAAAAATTAGATGTGATTGTTTGTGAGAACTTTTTACTGTAGAAAAATTCAAATTCTAAACTCGAATCAACGAAGTTAACGGGCCTTAATATATTCAAAATGATTATGTCTCGACAAAATACCGTCTCAATTCATTTTATTTCATCATATCCGAGACATGGTATAGAGCAGCCGCGATAATATGGATATTGGAGGCGGTTAATTATTTTATAGTTGAAAAAAAGAAGAATAATTTGGTAGAGTAATTTGTCGGATTACTCTCTGACGATCGGAAGCCGTCGATCATTATTACAAGTCCATGAGTCTTATTTACTATCAAAGTGAGCCCATGGAGCTGTGGAGGTCAATTTGTGGCCTAATGTAGACCAACTGGGCCTTCGGATCAGGATTGACGCCTTGGGTGGGTCCCACGTGCAAAATTCTGTTGGGACAAGCGATTTCATTTCATGTTTGCTGCTGCTGCCGGAGAATGAGACGGAGAAGAAATAACGAATAAAAGTTACTAGCAATAAAATTAAATAAATAATAATAAGGAAAAGGAAAAGGAACTTCTTCCTTTCCCTTTGGATCATTCATTCGATGGGCAGTTGTTCTACTTCTACTTGTTTTTGGGTAAGGTCGATGCACCTGCACCCGCCTTTCCATGAGCTCCAATCGCAGACCCAGAGCCGTACGATCGGATTTTCTTATTCAGCGGCTTCTCGTCGTGGTTGTGGTGGTGTTGGTCATACTTATCGGCGCAGCAGAACAAGAATCTACTACAACTCCGATGAGCCCACCCGCAGACAACCAACTGGAATTCAACTCTACTCCGAGATTGAGAGGTTTTTTGTTTTTGTTTTGTTGGAATCTTGAAACTCTAAATTCGTCCCATGAAATTAATTAATTAATATATAAATTGGGTTGTCGTCGTCGTCGTTGTTGTTGGTTCAGATTACTGACGGATACAGTGAAGCAATCGCAAGATGGCTGGGGAGGTTTAAGAGACTGGACTGAAGTTGAGGTATCAAATTAAATCTATTTTTATGCAAACATTTTTCTTTACATATATATGTATATATGTATATATTAATTACTATAACTTGTTTGTTCTTAACCAAGGCTTTATTTTATAAGAAAAGAAAAGAAGTTAGGCGTTAAATGTTAATGTTGTTTTGTTATGCCAAAGAAAACAGACACGGAGTTAGGAGTCATATGAGTAAGTACCTACAAGCTTACTTACCAATATATTTGTGGCATCTACAATCTACGATATTATTAGATAGTATTCCTATAAGTAAACTCAAGATGGAATGGATTGTTGATTGGATATATGTTATATGATTTGTAAGTACCTACAAGCTTACTTACCAACTGTTTGGGATGTGATATTTGATTGGATATATGTTATATGATTTGTAACCAACAGGGAGCATGGGTTCTTAAACCAAGAAGCTCAGAACCAAAGTTTGTTGTACATTTTGTTGGTGGTATTTTTGTTGGAGCTGCACCTCAGCTCGCCTATCGCTTCTTTCTCGAGCGCCTCTCCCAAAAGTCAGCTCTCTCTTCCCGTTCCATTCATCATTTCCTAACGGTTTCTTTTTTTTCTCAAATTCACTGCTCATTCATGCTACTACACTGGAATTGGATGCGACAAATTTTACTCTTACTACAAATTAAATCATAAACTCATCATTTCCATTATCAGGGACGTTCTCGTCATTGCAACACCCTATGCTAGTGGATTCGATTACTTCTTCATTGCAGATGAAGTCCAATTCAAATTTGATAGGTGCTTGCGTTTTCTTAGGGACACGGTGCGTCTCTAGTTTTATATTCACCTCCTTAAATCTATCTTGCTTTTGTTTAATACAATTAAGAAAAGTTTGGACAAACATGCTTAATTTTACAGGTTTCAGATCTTCCTACTTTTGGCATTGGCCATTCTTTGGGATCTGTTATCCACCTTTTGATTGGTATAGCAACTTCTTACTTTCCCCTCAACAGCATTTAAGAGTGTTTATGATCAGTAGCAGCTTATTATAATTTGTGACAAAACATTTTGACCAGGATCAAGATACGCTGTTCAAAGAAATGGGAACGTGCTGATGGCATTTAACAACAAGGTATTTGTATTTCAAATCTCCATGTACTGTTAATTCCTGCCTAACCTTCCTTGGAAGAGAACTGAAAATGTGTAGCCATTGGCTTACAACTCTTTTACTGTCCGAAGGATTTCGGTAGGCATTTTTTTCTTCTTCCCCCATTTCTTAATGCAGTTCCTAATAATAATCAAAATGGATTGAGATTGCGAGGAATTTCTTCTATTTTTTGGTATTTTCCTTTTTCTTTCCCTTCTTTCTCCTTTTGGCAGCAAATAAATTATTAGACTGTGAGTGTATAAAATATCGACTTTAAAATAATAACATAACGTTAACAAGAGTCTCTCTATTAATGTCACAGGAGGCAAGCTCAGCTATTCCTTTGTTCTCACCTGTTCTTGTCCCCATGGCTCAAAGCGTTGGCCCTATTTTGTCACAGATTGCATCATCACCAACAATACGTCTTGGGGTGAGAATCCAAGTTATTTCAATATTTAGTATTCAGCACGTGCATGTCGGTGTAACACTTCCAACAACTTGGATGTCACGGCACTTTGTAAATTTGTGATATCATTCCATTGCAAGTTAATAGAAGGAGAAGGAGTTTTGACATACATTTTTTAACCAATTTTTTACCGATTAGAGCCATTTATGAATTTCGATTGATCTTACTAGTTAGATCTAGGTGCACGATGAATTTCCAACATATTACCAATTAATATTATCAATGATTTGTTCAGCTCTCGTTGATATAATTAATCTCACTTAATTATAGCTGTACATCATTTGTTTTATTAGGAAATGCAAAACTTCCTGGAATCTGTGGTAAGTTGGGGTCGTGTGGAAATTACTTGTTCAAAAAGAAAAGGCTACTATAGAGCTGTAATAATTTAACAAACTTAGCATTGGCAGGGGTGGCTTAATACAGTGTATATTTGTGAGCTCCGTCTCCAACTTGCATATTTTCAAACTTTTCGCCTTCTTGAAATCTTGTTTGTAGAATCCTAAATTCCATGTTGATGATAAGCCTATTAATTGGACTCGTCATTTTTGTTGACGTTAAGATTTATGGGTATCTTTGTTTATGGAAAAGATATATTGTACTGGAGTTCATTTTGAATAATAGAGAATGGAGGTACGAAAGCAGATAACATATTTCAATCTTATACAAATCCTTACAGGCAGAGATGACTTTGAAGCAACTAGGAAACCTTAGCCCTCCTATCATGAAGCAAGTTCTTCCTTTGGTTGAGCAGCTTCCTCCTTTGTACATGGATTTAGTCAATGGAAAAGAAGATTTTACTCCGAAACCAGAAGAAACTCGAAGACTTGTACGTGAAGCCTCTAACTTATGAATAAGAACAAGTTTTGTTTTGTTTTTTTTTTGTTTTTTTTTTTTTTATAGTATTAGTACACCATTACATCATATCTTCTCATCATGTGACATTTCCTTTTGTTAAAACCTCTTATCTATCTAGTGCTATTTATTTGTTTTCTACGTTAGTGGAGTGACATCTTGAGCCGGGTCTTCTTTCTATATTTTGTCCTCATTGTCGGACATTGTATGTACCATGTATATGTTAGACCACCGAGTACCTGCAATACAGAATCACACACACACGTATACCACAACACAACACCACAGCTAGATTATTGAAGGAGCCTCAACCGAAGGATCCAATTTCATTAATCGTCACTGGAAACCACGAGCTCTGCTCAGCCAGAAATACAGAAAACAATAAGGATTAGTTCTCGCTCACGATACCCTCCTCTCACATATTCCCTTTCCTTAAATCCCTCAGGCCGTTGTAACCTCCCTACTCCCTAGGCACCAATCCCTAGTCTAGCCTAACCACCTATAGGCCACATCAGCAACCTTCCTCACGTACTCACCTCCCTTCCCCAACCGAAAACGTTACGAGCTCCTCTAGAGTATGTCCGTTCATATTTGTTTTGCCTAGGCTCGGGTGTAACATTACTCTCCTCCTCAAAAAGGACCTTGTCCTCAAGGTCGAAGGTAGGGAAGCGGACTTGCAATTCTTCCAACTCTTCCCAAGTGGCGTCCTCGTTGTCTCGCCCCTACCATTTAACCAGCACCTCCTTCAGGACCTGACCCCCTTGCCTCTTCAAGCGACCCTGTAGCACGCCCTCTGGAAACAGCAGCATGGGCATGTCCACCGCAGTATCCACAACCACCGGTTCCTCTAAAACCGCACACCTACCAACCACCTTCTTAAGCATAGACACATGGAAAACAGGATGGACCCTGGAGCCCTCTGGTAGACGAAGTCGATATGCTACTGGTCCTACCTTGCCGATCACTTCAAACGGGCCATGATATTTTGGTGCCAGTTTTTTGTTAGAGCGCCTTGCCACGGTGCCCTGTCGGTAAGGTTGCAGCTTCAACCAAGCGAGTTTCCCGACCTGAAACTCTCGTTCCACCCGTTTTTTATCCGCATAACGCTTCATCCGTTCTTGCGCACGCTCCAAGTTGCAGCGTAGCTGCTTCAGCTGTTCATCCCGTTCAGCAAGTTGCATGTCAACGGATCCAACCGCTGTTTTTCCCCCTGTATAGCGCATCAAGGTCGGGAGCGGCCGGCCATACAGAGCCTGGAAGGGCGTCATGCGGGCTGCACTGTGAAAATTGGTGCTGTACCAATATTCTGCCCAACACAACCACCTACTTCAGTGCCTAGGTTGGCCACTGGAGAAACATCTTAAGTACGCCTCCAAACAACGATGAAGGATTTTTGTCTGCCCATCCGTTTGAGGGTGGTATGCTAAGCTCATACGTAGGGTGGTGTGCTGGAGACGAAACAGCTCTCTCCAAAAAAGGCTAGTGAAAACCTTATTGCGATCACTCACTATACTTCGAGGCATGCCGTGAAGGCGAACCACCTCTCGGCAAAACACCTCTGCCACCAACTTAGCAGTGAACGGCCGCTTGAGAGCAATGAAATGTGCGAATTTGGTCAAGCGGTCTACCACTACGAAAATTACCTCATGACCGTTGGATTTAGGCAGGGCCTCGATGAAATCCATCGAGATGTCCTCCCATACTGCGTCGGGAATGGTTAGTGGCTGTAGCAAGCCTGCCGGACTCGTAGACTCCACCTTGTTTGACAAATCCCACACTCCGCCACGAATCGTTGCACATCTCTTGCTATTCCTGGCCAATACACGTTAGCGCTAATCTGCTTGTACGTCCTTAGTGCCCCCGCGTGTCCTCCCGTATAGGTTGAGTGGAATTCTTCCAGCAATTGCTGCTGAGCTTGGAACCTGCCGAAATCACTATCCGACCCCAATGGAGCAACACCCCATTTTCCACTGCATAATGGCTTCCTTTTTCCTTGCCGCGACTCAACTTCTCCCTGAGGGTGCGAAGGTTTGTGTCAGTGGCTACCTCTTGCTCCACCGTTGCCATGTCTAGAAACTGGGGTCCCGAGATAGCCAACAGCTCCCCTCCTTGCGTCCAACCGCCTCAGCGAGACAAGGCATCAGCCACTGTATTTTCTCTCCTTGCACGGTAATGGATGTCAAACTCGAACCCCATCAACTTCACTAACCACTTCTGCTACGCCGGAGTATTGATTCGCTGTTCCAAGAGAAAACGAAGGGATTTCTGATCGGTACGGACAACAAACTTCATGCCGAGAAGGTAGGCTCTCCATTTCTGGATGGCCAAAACCAAGGCCATAAGCTCTCTCTCATACACAGACTTGGCCATCGTTCTAGGCGACAACCCTTTGCTAAAGTAAGCCACCGGTCGCCCCTGCTGCAATAGAACCGCTCCTATCCCTGCCCCTAAAGCATCTGTCTCAACCTCAAATGTGTCAGTGAAATCGAGTAAGGCAAGGACTGGAGTCTCTGTCATCCGTCACTTGAGTTCTTGGAACGCCCGCTGGGCCTCCTCGGTCCAAGTGAACTCCCCCTTTTTCAGCAAATCTGTCAAGGGCCGCGCGATGGTGCCATAATTCTTTACGAAACGGCGGTAGTAGCTTGTCAAACCCAGGAAGCCACGCACTCCTTTTACTGTGGTTGGAATTGGCCACTCAACCATACCCCATATCTTTCTCGGATCTGCCGCCACGCCCTCTTGTGAAATGCGGTGTCCCAAATATTCCACAAAGTCCCGGAAAAACAAACATTTCTTCGGATTGAGCACAAACCTTCCCTCCTTCAGCAATCCCAACACGGTGCGTAGGTGGCTCAAGTGCTCCTAGGGATTGTGGCTGTAAACTAGCATGTCATCTAAAAATACCAAGACGAACTTCAGGAGCAAGGGCTTGAATAGCTCGGTCATCATCGCCTGGAAGGTGGCCGGAGCGTTCGTAAGCCCAAAGGGCATGACAAGGAACTCATAATGCCCCTCGTGCGTCCGGAATGCCGTCTTCTCGACATCCTACCGCCTCATGCATATTTGGTGGTACCCACTTTTTAAATCAAGCTTCGAAAAGCAAGATGCCCCGTGTAACTCATCCAACAATTCCTCAATTACAGGAATTGGGAACTTATCCGGCACTGTTAACTTGTTCAACTCCCGGTAATCTACACAAAAGCGTCAACTCCCATCTTTCTTACGTACCAATATCACCGGGCTTGAGTAAGGACTCTGGCTGCCACCGTCATGTCTGCAATCAAGCGCTCTATTTCATTTTTCTGTGCATGGGGATAACGGTAGGGTCGGATATTTGGGGGTTTCACATCCGGTTGCAGCATGGTCCCCTATTCTGGACGGTGGCAAGCCCAGCTTCCCCGAAAACACCGTATCATACTCTCTCGCCAACTCCACCACATAAGCCTTATTTGCCCCTTCCTATCCGGTATTGGGGGAGTGCGAATTCTGCCACTGCACCAGATAGCACTCCTCACCTTTCTTGGCCATCTTGGCCATGGTGGTAACTGAAATAGGTTCTCTGGACAAAGCCGTCACCCCAACCAAACGGTGTATCTTCCCTGCCAGCTCGAACTCTAACCACATCTGTTGGAAATTTGCCCTAAAGGTTCCCAACTTCCTGAGCCATCCAACCCCTAATACCACATCGACCCCTGGTATCTCAAACGGATATAAATCCAACTCGAACTCCAAACTAGACACATTCAACCGCACTCCTCGGCATATGCTATCGATAGTTACACAATAACCATCACCAACTTTGACCGTATACTCCGGGATGGAGAGCACCATTAATCCAAGCTCTTTAACCTTGTTCCAACTGATAAACGAAGTATTGGCTCCACTATCGATTAAGATGGTTACCTTTTGCTCTTGTATGTGCCCGTACAGCTTCAGGGTATCGCCCCCATTAATTCCCGCTAAAGCTTGTAACCTCAGATCCAGTTGGAGGAGCATCAATCCTCCTCTTCCTCCGAGTCTGTACAACTGCGGCCTTCCTCTGGTGGTGTCGCCTTTGGTTCGGGTTCGTCGTCTTCTCCTGTCGCGACCTTTAGCATTTTGAGCGTACCAGTCTTGCACCGGTGGCCGCCAACCCACGGCTCTCTGCACCGGAAACACTCCCGATTGTCCTTCCGCCACTGATGTTCTAGCTGGCCAAGGCTCAGACTACCGCCGCCCTCTCGTTGCCCCATCCCAGAAGCTCTCTGGGTCTGCTCGAATGAGGGGCACTGGGTGTTCAAGGGGGCTGGAACCCCATTTGTTGGGGGCCAAACGGGTTGTCGTTTGGTGAGTTGGATTGAAGGGGGATACGTGTCCCACCCTTCCACGTGTTCCTTGAGCCTTTATTTTGTGTTCTAGATGTAAGCCCAATTGAATAGCCTCATGTACACTCTTGGGCTGCCACATCCGAACATCATCCTATAGCTCTTGATTCAATCCATTCAAGAAAATTCTCAGAGTGGTAGCCCGGTCGATCCCTCGAATTCGGGCTAACAACTCCTGGAATCGTTCCCCATATTCCGCCACGGAGCCCATTTGCCTCAGGCCCACCAATTGCTCCTGAACCGATTTGAATTCCTTGGGTCCAAACCGCTGCCCAAAAGAGAACTTCAATTCGTCCCAATCCATGCCCGGCTCTTCCTCCATGACCCACTCGTAATATTCCCAAGCCTTGCCCACGAGAAAGTCTGTAACCACCTGGACTCGGACGTCGGGTCGGACCATATGGACCCGGAAGTACCGCTCCACCCTTCTCTCCCAGCCCGACTATCCTTCTCCATCAAAAGGCGGTAAATCCACTCGTGGTGGGCTTCCTCCAAAACGCCGACGTTGAGGAACCAGATTGGGTGGTTCGCCTCCAGCCCATGGCGGTAACTCCTCTCCTAACCGACGTCGATCGTCCCCAAACTCCCAGCGCTCAGGTCCGCGCCTCCTCTCTTGGTTGTATCGGCCGCCCGTCCAAGCTGGTGGCGGCTCTCTGTCAGGCGTTACCCCCTGAGGCCGCAGTCCATCCGTTCGCACCATGTAGTGCGGTTGTCTTGCCGGGGGAACGCCGGTGGACGCCTGCTCCCACAGTTCACTCTGTCCTGCTCTTGCGTTAGCCTCCTCTGCTGTGGCGGCAGGAGCAATGACCGCCTCCTTCCTAGTCCCTTCGGCGAAGAGTTCGGCAACTCGCGGTTGAAATTCTCGAAGCTCTCCTTGACGAGTTTGGACACCAGCTGAGGTAAGCCCTTGAGACACTCCTCTAGTCGGTCCAACCCGGTCAACTTCTCCGTCAATTTGTCCAACTTCTTCTCTAACTCCTCTACGCGATCACCACGAGTGACGCCCTTCGTCATCCTCTACTTTTCCATATTGTAAATGTCTCTGATACCAAAATGTTAGACCACCGAGTACCTGCAATACAGAATCACACACACACGTATACCACAACACAACACCACAGCTAGATTATTGAAGGAGCCTCAACTGAAGGATCCAATTTCATTAATCGTCACTGGAAACCACGAGCTCTGCTCGGCCAGAAATACAGAAAACAATAAGGATTAGTTCTCGCTCACGATACCCTCCTCTCACATATTCCCTTTCTTTAAATCCCTCAGTCCGTTGTAACCTCCCTACTCCCTAGGCACCAATAGGCACCAATCCCTAGTCTAGCCTAACCACCTATAGGCCACATCAGCAACCTTCCTCACGCACTCACCTCCCTTCCCCAACCGAAAACGTTACGAGCTCCTCTAGAGTAAGTCCGTTCGTATCTGTTATGCCTAGGCTCGGGTGTAATAGTATACTTGAAGAGTAGAAACTTGGAATTGATTTTGTGGGTCCTGGTGCTTTGTTTAGTGGCTTGATACTCGAGAGTAACCAACATAAAACTAAGACTTGATTCTGCATTGTGCAATTTTCTCCTGTGAATCCCCTGAGGTTTGTGTTTACTTATGTTTGTCTCCTCAGATAAAGTCATACTACGGCATCTCGAGAAATCTTCTGGTGAAATTCAAAGACGATTCTATTGATGAGACTTCAACACTAGCGCAGGTGCTTAGTTCGGAATCAGCTATCAGTTCAATGCTTGACATGTCAATCCGGCTCTTGCCTGGAGATCATGCGCTTCCTTTGCAGCAGGTATAGTAATTAGTTTGACATGGGATATTTTAAAGACGCTTAAATCTTTTGGTGGGGCAGGCATTGTGTAATATGTCCATTTTGCAGGCCATTCCAGATGTTCCACCGGCAATGGCCGACGCAGTAAACCGTGGAAGTGAGTTTTTGGCAAATCTATCTGTAGGTACGCCATGGGAGACGGTTGCCAAAGAAGTTGGGAATACATTAGGCACAGACTCAAGGATCCTTCGCGCAGAGATATCGAAAGACATAGACCTACTTGTGGACGTCATTGCATCATGGATGGCTTCTAATACAGGTCAGAAGTTTCTGAGGCCATGATGGTGTAGCAATCAATCTGGGTGTTTTACAAAACTAGATAGAATGGACCATCCAACTTTTGATGTTGTCATGTAAATAAACACAGCTATACATTTCAAATAGTAAATAAAAAGGATGGCATATGTTGCTTTAGACTTGTTTTGCATTCAACATTATAAGACATGATTACGAGCTCTGCTTATGCACGACCAAATAATAGCTTGGTATATGTTTTCGTACGACTTGAAAAAAGATGAATTGTAAAAATTCTCCAACGTATAATACTTGTGTATATGTCTGTGTGTATGTGAAATTCTCTATATTTAATATTATAAGTTTCTAGAAGAATCTATCCCATGATAGACCATTCTCTCTCGCGGACACCTTAAAATGGAACTGAATTCTAGCTCAAAGCCCTGACCAAAAACATGCAGAGAGGGAATATGTACCAAGTCTGGGGTTTTCTAGACAAAAAATGCCCCACGTTTTTTCCCCCTGTAAATACACCCAAATTATTAGTTGCTTGGCAAGTTGAATTTTAAAACTTTTGATTTTAACATTTGTGACCCTAAATGGCATCCATTAATTGATAATTATTTATTGATTGGACTGCGTTATCAAGGATTGTTAAATTTACTTTAATGCTAAAATTTAAAAGCTTGAGATCCAACTTGCAAATGACAAATAATTCAGGGGGCATTGGCATAATTTACTCTATTTAAAAAATTTAGTTAAATTCATCAAATGTGCATAAACGCTGTTGATCAAATTGAGTTAAATCCATCATATCTAATGCCGCCCCTTTTGCTGCCAAAAAGAATTTGGAGCTATGTTTTGCTTGGAAATTGATGCACTATGAGAAAGAATAATCCGAAGATGTTGATTTCTGAATAAAACACTGTTCCAGGTAAGTAACATGTGTTTCTTGTGAAGAATTTTCTAGCATTTCTAACTATAGGCCATGAAAAAAGAACACCAAGATACACAGGCACGCCTAAAAGGATGATTATTCCTTTTTCTAATCAAAATGTAAAACGAAATGGAGAGATTTTCAAAAAATAATATCGGTTTTGACATCTGGTTTCACTGTTACAAGACTTTCGTTGACTCTATTCATTTCAAAGTAACAAGACATAATGTTCATTTGCAAGTTCTCAATTTAGTCATCCAAAGGAATTGATATAAGAGAGTGAGAATAATGGTCTGTTACATGTAAGAAAATATGCAGTGCAATTTCACGTCCCTCCGACCAAAAAGAATTCCTAAGCTGGCTTAGGAAGATATTCTACTCAGCTAAATCAAAAACAGCCATCTGAGATGACCAATTCTTTCTTACGTGTTGGATATTTACATAATTGAAAGGAGAGAAAGTCGAGTATCATTTTTCAGCAAACAAAACGAAGAGTAGACACAAAGCTAAGCTGGCAAAGGTAACCCCGTTGTCACATATATATTTGCTTGCGTCTACTTCTCTTCATGATACAAATAAAGGCCAAGGCCAAATCGAGCACATGCCCTGCAGAAAGCTATTTCCTCCGCTGCAGCAACCGGATCAGCGGTGTTGCCGTCGCTAGAAGATATTGTTCCCGATGACTCACGGTATGCCTATAACAGATGGATCAAGTTAAAACTGTACGACGAAAGGAATTCACAACCAAGAGAAGAGAATGAGCAATTCTTCTATTTCTTTGATTACCATTTTGCTCAACGCGTAAACTTACAATATATGTCTTTGAAAGAATAATGCTAATGGCAGTAAACAATATATTTCCCAAAAAAAGACACAAAAAAGAAAAGAGTCAAAGGCATGGTTGTGAAAGGATCTTATTCTTAACGGCATACTTGACACAAGACAAGAGAAAGAGGGTATTTAGTTAGAAATAATCTTGGCATTGGCATTAAGAAAAATGAGCGAAAATTGTTCAGGTATGTTATATGGCTACGATTATGTTTATATTTTGCATTCTTGCTGTTGTTGATAGAACGAAATGGGGTTCAGTCGAGTTTAGATGTTACTGATTCAAATATGATCCAGACTGACTGACTAACAAAATCTGGTGTTTTTAGTGAATGGAGTGGAGATTTGAGGTATGATGCTTGTAATTAACTATATGTTAGTGTTAAGCACAAACTACATGCGATGACGCCACCAACCCATATCATGTGTGTGTGTGTGTGTGTTGTATAAAGAGTAAATCCTGATTTAGGATGTAGTGATCTGAGATTGGTTAAATTATATAAATATGTTAGTGTTGTAGGGAGTTAATCAAGTAGATTAAAGTTGATGGTTGAAAAAGAAAAGAGAAGAGAAGAGATCAAAGAGAAGAAAAATGAAAAAGAAATTAAAGGGGGCGAAAAACAACCTCGCCGTCAGATCCACGAATAGTGAGACGGTAGACAACGGTGACAGTTCCATTCTCAGAGTAAATCACATCGCGTATTTCCCCGCACCATCCTAATATTAATCACGGAAGGAAGGTATATATATATATATATATATGTGTGTGTGTGTGTGTGTATATATATGTGTGTATATATATATATAGAATGGTATGTAAATGTCAGTGTTATCATGTTACCAGGAGCGTAGAAGCTCAACATGCGATTGGCATGGTACCAGGGGATTGAGAAGGATGATTGAGCAGTCGTCTTTGAGACGATGATGTTGTCGGGGATTCGCTTGTTGAGGTCTCTGAGGATCTCCTCAAGAGGGCGGATTATTGAAGTGGAAGACGAGTTCCCCAGCGGCACCACGTAGTTCGACTGTGGATCTCCCGACTGCGGAACTCCGCCCACGACTTTCTTCGACTTGGGGCTGGAGGCATCGTTCCCGTTGCGGCTCACAGCACCACGTACGACACAAAAACTGGCACTATTTCTAGTAATACTAGGAGAAGCTCTTGTTCCTCCTCCGATTCCCATGATTCTCCTCCAATCATTGTTTCTCCTCTGATCCTGCAATTTCAGCTGCATCGCCATCGCCATCGCCATCTTCTTCTTTTGCTTCTGCTTCTGCTTCTCCAACCAAACCAAAAACCCCCCTCTTTTCTTTTCTTTTCTCTCTTTCCTTCCTTTCCCAATAATATCAAAATAAAATAAAATAAAATAAAAAAGACGTTTTTCTATCTACCCCCTACCTAACCAAGCCTCAAGCAACCACCCTATAAATCTATTTATATATATATATATATATGTATGTATGTATATATACACGTATTATACAGTATTATATCTACAAAAAAGAAAACAAAAATGAAAAAGTAGAAGAAAAGTAAACGCTCCTACTCTCCAACGAATTGGTTGGTGCACATCACACGCTTCTTGTTCTTGTTCTTTTCTCTTTAAGGGTATTTTGGGTCTTTTACATTTAAAATTGATTTTGCGTCCTTGACATTTAAAATTGAACATTAATATATATTTTTTTTTTTTTTTTGAAAGACCTCAGCGAGGAAATTTATTAAAAGTGAAAGAAAAAATACATCAAAAACAGAGGGATTAAATTCTCGTTTATTTCACCGATATAAATTTAAAATTTAAATTTTATTACAGTAAAAAACTTTTAGAAACAGTCACATTTAACTTTTTTACTACAAAAAAAATCTCTCACATAAAATCACATATCAATTCAAATTAAAAACTCAAATCAATAAATTAAACGGGCTTTAAGAATACAACAAGGAAAAGAAAAACAAAACATAACCTATATCTTATAAGATCAAAGCATTCAAACCAAACTCTTTATAAAAAAATTAGGACATTATGCTACTAAGTGTAACAACTAGAAACTATACTAAAACTAACTAAACAACGCATTAGATCAAAGCAACAGTATTAGCCTCTCTAAAAGAATAGAAATAACAAAATCTATAGATTTAACCTTATTAAGAGCATCTATCAAAACATTCTAAAGAGATCACAAAATTGTAAAACTAATACTCTGACAAAGATAAATTGCACAAGCAGAATCACTTTCTAAACCAAATGCACCTCCACCTTTACCCAAACCAACTTAATGGCTACAAAATGAAAACACTGAAAGCTTTTAAGAAAAAACCTTATAATTTCAAAAGACTACACCTCCCCTAACTAAGAGGATGTTTGGTTTATGTATTCAGAATCATGATTCAGAATTATTTTCGTTTTATGTGTATTTTTTATGAGAGAAAACACTGTAAAGAACCATGAATCATAATTTAAAATCAGTGACGAATATAGAAAATAAACGTCAACTATTCCTCTTAGAAGTCTCATCCTTATTAACTTTAATCTAGCTGGCAAAGAACAATTGTATTAACTAATAAAATTGAACCATTCAAATTATAAAAGTATTATTCTTTAATAACCTCGGAACGTAAAAATGAAAAAAACAAAAAAAACAAAAAAAAAAACAAAAAAACAAAAAAACGATCATTTTGGTGCTTTTTATTTCATACGCAATTCATTTAAATTTTTTATCAAAAGGAAAAAAAAAAAGACAATATAGAAATATAAGTGGAACGAAAACCCAAAAAAAAAGGCGGAGACACAAAATACGGCATTTGTTCTGTTGTTTGAATCACTTATGATACTTATGGCAACGAGAGTACTCTATTATGTTGAAGGCAAAACTTACAGTAGGACATGCATTTTTTAACTCAGGGTCCGTTTAATTCGCTGATTCGAGTTTTTAATTCGAGTTGAGATGTAATTTTATGTGAGAGCTTTTTACTGTAGCAAAAAAATTAGATGTGATTGTTTGTGAGAGCTTTTTACCGTAGTAAAACTCGAATTCTAAACTCGAATCAACGAAATAAACGGAGCCTCAGTTTTAGTTATTGAATTGATTTTTCAACATTCTAATCTAGAGTAGCAGCAATTCTGTGACTATAGAAGAAGATAACAATAAAATAACGTAAAAGAAACAAATATTTCTAGAGGCCAATAAAAAGATTATTTAGAAATACCATATTTGAAAGAAAAAAATAATATTTAAAAGCATTGCACGGAAAAAATTTTGTATGGGAAAATTTTGGATAAAAAAAAAAAATTCAAGTTATTGGTACCGGTGTAAATCCAAATTTATGAGTTCAGTCACCAAATAAAGCGGTATATCCTAACTTTACCAAATCGAAAAGAAATACAAAAACTACATTTAAAAGATGCCATATTCATAATTATTTCACCTGATGACAAAAATTTAACATTCATATCACTCAATTCACCAGAAAAGATCCTACCAAATGATTTTTTCTCTCCTCTACAAAGATGACCGAAGATCTTCGAAGTAAAGCTGTTGGATATCGATATGGCATACTGCATAATTTTCTCTTTGCTTCATTGTTGTTTACATTAGTGCTGATTCGATGTATAAAAATTAAAAGGCAAGACTGACGGGAAAGAAGAGTATCCCTCTGTTTTCTAGTTTCTACTTTTACAGCTTCTCAAGGTCCATTACAAAATCTAGTCTCCTCAAATATGCGATGTGTATATATGTTTAAATATTCAATGCCAGTCGTCACAACTCACGAGCGTTTTGAGGATTGTTTCCCAGCTTGGAATGGACCATTGCTTCCACTTGGCTGCGGAGGCTTTCCAAATCCAGTGCATAATCCTTTTGATCTTCCTCTGCCATCAAAATCAAATCCTTTAGCTGTTTCCTTATCCTCTCCAATGCAACATCCAAACCGCAAACCTCCTTCAAAACTGCCGCCGCTTCTGTGGTTCTCAGTTGCAATACATTCTTAATTGTCATCAGAGCCTGTTTCATCAATCAATCATTACGTCTTATCTCCTACATTCTTAATCAATAATTACCAAACAAAAATCTACCTCGTAGTCCATAGTAGTGGGAATTACTACCTTTTCCTGGAGATCAAGGTCGGAAGATACGGTTAGATCAACAACAGATTTCAACAGAGCGCGGCTGCTGAGAAAAGGCGCCACATCTTTATCCGTGTTCTCTAACTGGGACTCCGCAAGATCACCCACAAGAAACACAGCTTTCTTTTGCAATCTAATATCAGTGCTTGAATTGCTGAGTATGTCCTGTAACAGATATTGCCCATTAACAACAGAGTTTGACTAAGAGAAGGAAAGGATGAAGAAATAATTCTCTCTACTCTGAGAACCATAATTCGGTTTATTGTTATTGACTTAGCCTAATTGTAATTTGTAGGATACCATATAGGACAAAAATGTGTAGAGGCACAACATTATCCTTTTTAACCATAATTCAGTTTATTGTTATTGACTTAGCTTAATTGTAATTTGAAGGACACCATATAGGACAAAAATGTGTATAAGCCCAACATTATCCTTTTTAATAAAGTTAAATCCTCCTCCTCTTCCTCCTTCGGCTTCAATGCTTTCGCATTCTTTCTAGGATGATCCACACAACCTAGATAAAGTTAACCTAAAATGCCTAGTTAATTGGTTTTTGGCAGCTCACCTGGAGGAGAAAACCTCCAGCTTCTGCATGGAAAAGTCGTTGCCCATCTAGATTGTTTCGGATGAGAGCTGAAACGGCATACAACCCTTTGTTGGCTTCTTCTAAGACCTCAGATTTTACCATTTCCATAAGCTTGGGCAACGCCCCGAGTTGCAGGACCTGCCGAGACACAAATTACTCAGAGTGAGTCTGATTGAAACAAAAACAAGAAGAACAAGGACAAAAACAAGAACATACGAGCAGTTAAATAAAAGAAAAGAAAAGGGACAAAGAAGAAATAGGGATGCCTGATTCTGAAGGGTAGGATTATTTTGAGAGGCTTTGCCAAGAACCCAAGCAGCAAGTTTCCTTGTATCTGGGTCTGGATGATTAAGTTGATCAATAATCACAAAAAGTCCTCCGAGTTTGTTCAAATCTGACAAAACAAAACAGACCAATTATTTTAATCTAATTCTAATGCATTGTGGATCCATCAAAAAGAAAAGCATTAATCTTAATCAAGGGTGGTACGTAGTACCATTGGCATTGTGAATGGGCTCAACAAGTATGAGAAGCTCGTGGAGTGCACGGTGTCGATCTTCCAAAGACAAAGACGAATTGTACTTCAAGTCGCCTATTGCGATTCGCATCAATTCGGCATCTGATGGCATTTTTAACTCCTCCATTAATTCCTGTCAATTAATTAATTAACTAACTAACTTTTTAATTAATATACTATGTGAAAACCATTAAGGGAAACTAAAGTGTGATTACTAATTTATAAGCAAAGCTAATATCCTAATTCTAATCGAGTGGAGTAATTCTCTTTCATACAATAATATAATAAGAAGTAATAATATCAATTGTAAAAAACTGAGGTTCGATAAGTGTGATTGGCTAAAACTAGTCTACTCTCTCTCTATATATAAAATGGAAGTCAGAAAGAAACAAGTTCCATTTCCATGGCAGGGTAATGGGTATTAAATTTAACATTTTGTTTTAAAACCTTAATTTCGATTTGGCGCTTCTCTAGCTCATCACTGGACAGTGTGCGGACATCTCTCGCTGCTTCTTTCAATTTCGCCGGATCAGAATGCCCTAAATCATATCATTATTATCATTAGTATTATTATTATTAGTTAACTTAGTAGGGAAAGTGAAAGACAGAAAAATGATGTATGAATTGAAAGAAAAGAGAAAAAGGCAGAAAATTGATGGGAAATAGTTGGTTAAAAGATAAGAGTAGAGAGTACCAATGGCCCACTGTAGCATTCCGTCGAGAGAAGAAAATCCGCCGTCGGAATCATCTCCGCTCGATGATGATGATGGTGATGGTGAGTTGTCAATGAGAAGCTGCTCTGCTTTCGCCATTAATAATAATAATAATAATAAGAATAATAATAATGTTAACAATAAGCTTGAAGCTCTTGAACAACCTAGATTCCGACGCCCCATTTATTTTTATTTTTTTAACTTGATAATAACTTAACTGTGGAAGGGGAAAAAAGAGACAATCTTTTCAAGTCAATAGGAATTAGGAAAGAAGAAGCTCAAATTGCTTCTCAGCTCTCTCTCTCTCTCTCTCTCTCTGATGCTCTCCGTGTATGTTATAAACAGTAGAGAAGAAGCTGAAACTGGTTCTCTTTCTCCCTCTATGTATGTATGGATATATATATATATATTAATAGAATTATAAATATTCAAGACACGTCGTTCGCTCTAATCATCACCGCTGATGCAGGATCCAGCGGTTCCCGTAAGACAAAGTGACTTGGTTTTTTCGTTTTTAAAAAAAAATATATATATAGTATTATTGCAAGTAACAGTTTCAAGGCAAAAGAAAACGACATGTCGTTTATTCATTTATTTGGTAAACAAAAGAAAGAGGAGTGTTTGAATTTCATTCGTAATCGTGAGAAAGAAATAGGATAATAAAACCCTAAACCCCCCAAATCAAAAAAAAAAAGAGAGAGAGAGAGAGAGAGAGAGAGAGAGGAAAGAGGAACACAGAAGAGAAGAGAAGAGAAGAGAAGGATGGTAAGGCTGACAGCAGACCTGATATGGAAGAGCCCTCATTTCTTCAATGCCATTAAGGAGCGTGAGTTGGATCTTCGAGGTACCCTCCCTAGTCCCTCCTTCTCTTTTCTTTTTTATTTTTAAATTTTTTTAAAATCAAAATGACCTCATTCCTTTCTCTTCTCTCTCACTCACTCACTCTCTCAACTCAGGTAATAAGATTGCTGTAATCGAGAACTTAGGAGCCACCGAGGTACAATTCCTTTTCTCCTTCTTTCTTTGTCTGTTTGTTTGTTTTGTGAGATCTCTTTCTTTTCTTGTTCATGTCAAAATTGAATAATGCTTTCGAGCAATTGTTTTGTTTTGTTTTGTTTTAAGGACCAATTTGACACGATTGATCTGTCGGACAATGAGATTGTAAAGCTCGAAAACTTGCCTTATCTAAACCGATTGGGTACTTTGCTCATTAACAACAATCGAATTACCCGCATCAATCCCAATATTGGTGGTAACCTCTCGCAACACTCCCCCCCCCCCCCCGCCCCCCCCCCCCCTCCTCCT